GCATTAATTGGGTAGCTCCTGATTCTTTTATATACACATACATATATATATATGCAATGAGATTTCAAACCTAATTTAAAATTCTGGGCAAGGGAAGTCCCTCACCATCCAGTGGTTAGGAATCTGAACTTCCACTGAAGCGAGCACAGGTTCAGTCCCTGCTGGGGAATTAAGGTCCCACTTGCCCTTTGGCCAAAAGTAAATAAATAAATGCAAATTATATAAAGGAAAATAAAAAATAAATTAAATTCTGTGTGTTAATTTTATATCCTGCAACTTTACTATATTCATTGATTAGCTCTAGTAATTTTCTGGTAGAGTCTTTAGGGTTTTCTCTGTAGAGGATCATGTCATCTGCAAACAGTGAGAGTTTGCCATATGACCCAGCAATCCCACTTCTGGGCACACACACCGAGGAAACCAGATCTGAAAGAGACACGTGAACCCCAATGTTCATCTCAGCACTGTTTATAATAGCCAGGGCATGGAAGCAACCTAGATGCCCATCAGCAGACGAATGGATAAGGAAGCTGTGGTACATATACACCATAGAATATCACTCAGCCATTAAAAAGAATTCATTTGATTAATTCATGTCAATGTATGGCAAAAACCACTACAATATTGTAAAGTAATTAGCCTCCAACTAATAAAAATAAATGGGAAAAAAAAAGAAATAAATTAAATTCTGGGCAAGTTCCTAACAGGCTGAAGGTCTCCACGGAGGAGAGAGGAAAGAGACGGGGGTGAGTTGGGTGTGGTCAGAAATCAGTGAGAAACCACGAGAGGGGGCCCAGGGGAGGCTGAGCCAGGAGGCTGGCGAATGAAAGGGCCCAGCAGGAGAAGGGACACTCCCACACGCTGGGGTGGAGGCCCCAGGGCTGCCCCATCCAGGGAGAGGGGTCCCAGGGTGCAGTTGTGGCCACCTGCCACATGGCCAGCCCGAGGGACGCCCAGACATCCACACAGGCCCCAGTCACACCGCACCAGGCCTACGCTGGGGTCCCCTCCATCAGCCCCGCTCCCTGCTCCTCGGGGCACCCAATTTCCAGGGGAGCCACGGAGCCAAGGGGGCAGACATGCCAACAGCCTGAAGGCAGGACCACAACCCGTGGGCTCTATGTCCAGCACCTGGACTGGGCCACCCAGAACTCTGCCAAAACCTCGAGGGCCATCCCACGAGGCAGCCAGACCCGGGCTCCCTGAGGCAGGTCATCACGACCCAGAAATGAGGGCAGCATGCAGAAACCTCCATTTCTACCCTGAGACGAACCCTGTCAGCGGATAAGAATCCCTACCATTTAAGGCGTCACCACACGTGTCCTAGGGCAGCCAGAGCAGCCACGGTCAACAGTTTGACAGAGGTCACTTCACTGTTGCCCCTGCTTCAGCAGGCCGCAGCTTTCTGTTGCACTTCAAGTCAATTTTCCATCAATTTTTCTAGCTTTTACCAAAATAAGGGGCTTCTCAGGTAATATTAGTGGTAAAGAACTGCCTGCCAATGCAGGTAGACGTTAAGAGACTCAGGTTCAATCCCTGGGTCGGGAAGATCCCCCGGAGGACGACATGGCAACCCACTCCAGTATACTGGCCTGGAAAATTCCATGCACAGAGGAGACTGGCGGGCTACAGTCCCTGGGGTCGCAAAGAGTCGGACACGACTAGAGCAATGCAGCATGCAATAAGAATAATGCTTATGAAGGAGGCGAGTGGCTTAAAAAGACCTGGCAGACGACCTAAGTGACACACACAAACAGGAAAACAGCAGGGCGGCCATCTCTCCTTGCTGCAGTTCAGGGCGGGGCTGGAACATGCGACCACAACCATCATGTGAAAGAAAAGAAGGAAATGACTGGGGAAAGGGAGAGAGAGGAGAGAGGGAGCAAAGGGGAGGAGGAAGGAAGGGAAGGAGGGACGGAAGGAAGGAGAGAGGGGGGCAGTTACTAAGAATACTGAAGGATCTGATTTACATAAAGCACAGTTCTCAATAAGCCTCTCCTTGGATGTCCATGCTGCCTGGAGACAGTACTGACTGGTTCCAGGAAGCACACTGATTAACGAAACATTTAAAAGCTAAGCATCTGCCCAGAACTTAAAGACCCTCCTCACCACGTTCCCTGCAATGCTTAAAGCCATAAAATGGTCAGGTCGATCCCTCCCCAACACCTCCCTCCACCTCACAACAAGTATCACGGGATTCCTGAGGGTCCCTACTTCACTGGCAGCAGAGTAAGATGCCACTTATACGAAAAAACACTTGCTCCAGCTGTGGGTTTAGTTGTAAATAAGTGAGCACACACAAGAGAAGCGTGAACACTTGTTGTTACTGGTGAGTGTGTTTGGTCCGAAAGGCTGAGCCATGCCCCCTCAGGCTAAGCAGCCCTAGCTGAGTCCAGCGAGCGCAGGACACGTGTCTGTCCACACCAGGCACCTACACCAAGAAATACCCAGAGATACAGACAACTCCAGAGAGACACCGCACAACACGTCTGCACGTGATTGGCAATCCCCTCTTCTTACAGTTCAAAAGAAACTCGTCTTCTTTCTCAAGTGACCTAGGCTGGCGAAACAACGCCCAAAGGCACCTCCTCTCCATGTGCAGAGAAGCTGTGATTCACACCACATGGAGGCTCCTAACGGTACGGATCATGAGCTTCCTAGTAACTAGTGACTAGATTCCGGGATGACTCAGACTGGTCACCCAGACTTCAGAGGACAGTGCCCAGTAGCGTGTGGGGCATCACCACAGCCCAGACCAGCCGGGTCTCCAAGCAGCTGCCCAGGCCATGCACCCAGGTCCACAGAGAACCCCGACCCACCCTGACTCAGGCACTGTGGGAGGGGGTCTGGGAAATGCCCCGTCTGCTGCATCCACACAGGCAGGACGGGCGACAGCCAGAAGCACTGGACAAGAGGTGCCTTTTCCTGGAGCACACACGCAGTTTAATTCCATTGTTACCCCAAAGCCCCAGCAACAGTCTCACATTCCAAGGCAAGAAGGACCTTTGCTGCTTTGCCTGGTTCATTCCAGGCATTTAACTATTACGGGTAATTCCTGGAATAATTATTCCATTTTAAAGAGAACAAAACTGAGGCTCAGGAGTTGAATGACTCATCCGAGGCTGCAGGTACTGGAGGGAGAAAGGTGTGGGCCGAGACCCATCGCCTCCACTGTGACAGGCTGTCCCCACAAGCCGGACACATTCTCATCTAGGAAACACTCATCAGGACGTGAGAGTGATCTGGTTGCAACATCTGTCACCCCGCTGATCGCCAGGGTGACTTGGCTGACCTGGCTGCCTAGGGGTCTGTCCCCTTCCTTCCTCACCGCTCCACGGGTATCCCTCCCGAAGTTGCAAGCTCAGGTGAAGAGGATGACCACCCCTGATAGAGAAGGATCAGGCTTTGGTCAAGGGTGTTCCAGTAGCTGTGCTCCCCTGCTAGAACCTCCAAACAAGCTCTCAAGGAAACGCTGATCAGCAGCCACTGGCCGAGCGTGCACCAATGCAGCTGCAGTGCAGCTGGGCACAAAGACCCTCAGCATCCCAGGCGCAAGATGGCAAGTCAGAGGGGGCCACGGAGAGGACCACAGTCGGGCAGGCAGAGGAGGCGGGCAGAGCTGCCAGGACCGCGGGGTCAGAGTGCCTTTCAACAGGGGTGGCTTCCATGTCTCAGCTGGAAGGACAACAGAGGGAAAACCGGCCCTGACAAGAGGGTTAGGACTCCAAGCTCTGGCTGAGGAAGCAGCTCATATCCATCCTTCCTGGTTGTGAATCAGGCTGTCCCCTGTTGCTCTGTGGGCCTCAACTGCTCTATTCACAAGAACAAGATGATAGCTGACGGTCCATGGAAGCCAGAGCATCACCCCCAAGGTCATGGCCCATTCAACTTGACGCACTCTCAGAAAACCTAGGTCCAAAAGCAGCACTATCATTTATAAGCCCTGCAATTCAGGGTAAAATTAGCCTATTGGAGCCTCAACCTTAAAACAGGAATAATAAGTTACAAAGTTAGCAAGGGAAAATAAAATACATTCTTGCATAAAAGCTGTTTGTAGCACTGCAAATCTTTTACTGCTTTCCAGTCTTTTATGACCACTTATTCCAGAGAAAAGTTGTAGTGGCTGCCGTCACCTGGAGTCACACTGATTTACACACAAACGGCTGCTTTACCTCCTGCGTCACTAACCCCGGCATGTGCCTTCAGCCCCCAAATCCCTTCCAAAACCCAACCAAAAGTTCAGCCTCTGACACTCTAGGAGCCTCAGTATTTTAATTCTCGCGGCCACTGAGAGTCCCAGGTGTTACTCTGCACTATTCTCGGGTAATACATAAAAGATGGCCCAAGGTTCCTTCCAGACGTTTTTAATCTTCAGCGCTTGACTTTTATTTTAAATCTGCAGTGCTTTGTAAAACTCAGATCTAGCTGACAATCAACCTCAAGGCCCCCACTGAGGCCATTGTACACAAACTAGCAACTTCCTCCTGGAGGAAAAGCCTGGCTCTGGCTCCCTGGAGCATCCAAGAAGAAACCACATCCAAACTCCAAGGGGCAGGTGCCAGCACGGGAAAGGAGGGGGAGTGGGAGGGGAGGAGAGGGGAGGAGCATCGTTCGGTGTGTGAGCTTCTGCCCATCTTTTCCCAAGGCGGGGCTGGGACTCCTGAGCAGAACTAGGTCCAGAGAGAAAACAGAAGGACGCCTCCAGGTGAGGAAACAGGACCAGCCAGCCTCCTGCTCCTGAAATTGTCTGGAGAGTTAGTGCTTCTGGATTAAAGAAATCAAAGTTCTCAAATATAAAAATGCTATCCCCCTTAAAGAACCACAATCACCTATCGAGTGCATTAAATTCATATAAATGCCATGCCCGCCACCAATTAGAGCTGGGAAATGAATGAAAATGCACAGGGTCCCCAGCACATCCTTCCCTGCTGCCTCTCCCACGCACAGCAGCAAAGCACAGACCAGAAAAGTCTGCTCGAGCATCTCTCATCAGCAGGTACCTCTTCTAAGGTGGTGTCTGAGAGCCCGTAGCCTGTCAGGTGCAGCTGGTGGAGGTTCAGGTCTAGGGCCTGGAAGAGCCCTTTGAAGCAGGCTCTGTCTGCATCCTCAGGGATCACGTAACTCAGCTCGCCCCGGCTGCTGCCTCGAAGAGATGCTTGTGGGATGTAGCTCTGGATCAGAGACGTGGCACAAGCTGTGTCCTTCGGGTCATCGGCCTCCAGAACAGAAGGCTACCCCCCAAGAAAGCAAGTGAACAGTAAGGAATGCAAACCCAAACATACTGAATTTACATCAACTGGTTTCACCTCTAGCCCTAAGCAAATTATTTTGAAATTTCAACTCCAAGCAGCAAAATCAAGAAATAGCATTTCCAGGATGCATTGCACCTTTTCCTTTTTAAATTTAAATCTAGTGGGAAAGCTGGCCAGCCAAGATGTAACACTAATTGGTCCCCAGGTACATGGGACAGGCCCCTAGGAGGTCTATGCTTACAGACGCCCTTGCTGCCTACGGAGAATCCTGAAAGCCACTCCAGCGCAGCAACTGGATGACAGGACATAGAGCCTTCCCAAAAGGGAGACAAGGACCCCCACCCATGGAGGAAAGCCACCACGCGCTAGACACTCACCCTGAATAGAGAGGAAGCAAATAGGAACCTGGACTCGGGGCCACCAAGGGTCAGACCATCAGGACTGGGGGGGTAGGGGGCAACTTAAGAGACGCCAGCCTTGAATTCCAGCCCCAGAGCAGCTCCGGCCCGCCCCCAGCTGACAAAGGGCAATGAGGATGCCTCTCATTGAGAACTCTGACTTCACCCTTTCTATGGTACAGCTTTAGCCTCTGAACCAAACATCAGGGTCAGAAAGTTACCTGGGAACACGCAGGGCCATGGCGGCACCTGGCCAGCCACTCAGGCCAACCCTGTTTCCCATCAGGGGCCCTGAATCCCACCTAACTCCTCCTGGCAGACAGAGAGCATCTGGGAGGCCCCACCCACTGCTGTAAAATTTATTTTAGAATCAGGGCCTCTGTACACAAAGGCCTCCACGTAATTACCACCTCCCTTTCCAGCCTCATCCCTGGCCCTCCCACCTCCCTGCCCCTGCCTCCCAACTCCACATCCACAGTGTGGAGTTTCTCTCTTTCTCAGGCACACTATTTCCTCCCCAAAGACTGAGATCCCAAGGACCCTGTGCAGAAAGCACGCACTCTATTTTGTCGCCTCCCCCAAGACCCAGAGCCAGCAAGGCCCTGCCAGAATTTGGGATAAAGATCTGCTGAACGACTCGACTGCAACATGGAGATACTGTAACTGATGAATAGTCTCAATTCGTCTCCTCCATTCCCCCAACCGAGGAGGGACACACCTCCCTGTATCTGCAACCAGGGTCTCACCTGCCTGCTGAGTGTCAGGCGGAGCCCCTGGGCGTGGGCCCGGATCAGGCTGGCAGGGGACCCGGAACAGCAGAGCCGCCCCCGCTGCAGCACGGCCACATGGTCACCCAGCGCCTCAGCCTCATCCAGGTGGTGGGTGGTGAAGATGATCGTCCGACCTGCAACCCAGGAAAGGGGGCATCAGATCTGCACGGCACACCGGGGGTTCATCCCCTCCCTCCGGTGGAGGAGCAGGGGCGGGGGTGGGGGGTGGTGTCAAGAGCATCACATGGTTTTCAGTCAGTTGAGATCAACGCCCCCCTCCCTTCAGAGCCCTGGAAACACCTCGGGGTTAGGACATGGCTTCTGCAAAGCCACCATCACAAGGTGTGACACTGAAAGGCAAGCCAGGGGGTCCCCGGGTCCAGTTGCCCCATCTGTGAGCCCCTAGACAGATCTCTGAGTGGATGTAGAGGAGAAATTCATGGAGAGACAACTGAACGGGACATCCTTCTCTGTCCTCTGATCCTCGACTCTCCACCCTCAACCTCACTATCACCTCTGCCGGACACTGGGAGAAGCTCTGTCCTATGGAAGCACTGCTACTGCTGTGTAAGAACACCGGTAAGCACCGTGAAGAGCTCACAGCGGCCAAGGGGCCGGCCGACGCCCTTGTCAAGTGTTGTGACTGCGAGTCATGGGGGCACCGCACCTACATCCTCCTGGGAGAGCTCACAGCGGCCAAGGGGCCGGCCGACGCCCTTGTCAAGTGATGTGACCGCGAGTCATGGAGGCACCGCATCCTCCTGGGGAGAACTCACAGCGGTCAAGGCCACAGAGAGAGCAGCTGGGCGCTGGGCCGAGGGGGAGGTGGGGTGGGCACGAGCCAGGGCCTCCCCAGGGAGAAAGAGGGCACGTGGCCACTTTTCACAGAAACAAGTGATCAGTTTATATGTATCCTCTACGAATTCTCACATCTGGTCACATTTTTCAGCCCTTTCTGGGGGAGGAAAGGGCCCAAACTGACCTCAGGGGGCCAGAGGCTAGACAGCCTGGAAGGCATTTTCAGAAAGGTCATGTCAGTTACGTGAAGGGACAGTCTCAGGACTCTTACTTCTGTTGGCTTGGCCAAGAAGTTTTTTGGGGATGTGACGGAAAACTCTGAAAAAACTTTTTAGCCAACTCAATACATTCCCCTACAGGCCTACATCAAGCCCAATTCTACCTATCCTGGTTTACTGAATAAACGCACTGATTGATTCTTATCCCAAAAACAAATTTTCCAAGCGCAAAGGCTGAACATGATTTTAATTCTGCGTGCCTCTGTGCTAGGTCGCTCCAGTCATGCCTGACTCCTTTTGATCCTATGGACTGTAGACTGCCAGGCCCCACTGTCCATAGGGTTCTCCAGGCAAGAATACTGGAGTGGGTTGCTATGGCTTCCTACAAGGGATCTTTCCAACCCAGGGATTGAGCCTGCATGTCTTATGTCTCCTGCATTGGCAAGTGGGTTCTTCACCACTAGTGCCACCTGGGAAGCCCGATTTTAACTCTACCTAAGTTTATAATTTTTAATAGCAGAGAAAGATAGAAAGACCAGGATTCTCAATTCATCTTTTAAAAACCACATCAAAAGGAAACCATGATATGCAGACCCTAGAGTAACAGAGGGGCAGGGGGCACGGTGGCCACTTTCACCACGTAGTGTACATGCGCTCAGTCGTGTCTGACTCTTTACCACCCCATGGACAGCAGCCCACCAGGCTCTTCTGTCCATGGAATTCTCCAGGCCGCAATACTGGAGTGGGTTGCCATTTCCTTCTCCAGTTTAAATAAAAGGTATGTGCCTATTCTATTGTTCACCATAGATGTGTCCCAAAGACCAAAGCCAAATCCCCTCACAACACAAGTTCCTTCAAGTCTAAGAAGATATGCTCGTCCCTGATCTGGAGTTAGAGACAATTAGAGACCAGATGATGTGTTTGCAGACAATTAAATCATCTAAAAATGAAAAGTCAGCTGGAATGTAAACTCCCCAAAAATGTAGATGAAGTTCATAGATGTTTGATGCTTCTCAGTGGACATTTAGGCAACCTGAGACACAGCTCAACCCTCAATGGACAACTGTCACTCTACAAGACACGTCTTTACTGCTTCCCTGGTTCGGGTGCTGTGTCTGAACCCCTCTCCCCATAAAGTGATCTTTCCCACACCCACTTCTCTTTTTTAACAATAGTGATGAACGGTCACTGGCCAAGCATCCACGTACCCGGTGCTCAGCTGTACACTTTCACACACTTCTCACACCACCCTACCAGCGGCATGATCCTCTCTACTTGCAAACAGGAAAACTGTTTGCCCAGAGGAGTGAGATCTTTCTCCAGGTCATATAGGACATGTGGAGCAGGAGGGGGACGAGCAGACCAATTTGCTCTGGTACCTTTTCCATCCTTATTGCTCCCACCAAGGGAGGCACGGAAGCACTGTTCAGAGGCGATCAGCACTGTGTATCACTCAGAAGGAAACACGGGTCAGGTCCCAGGAAGACAGAACCCCAAACACCCGTGTTCTGCCAGCAGAACCTGCTTCTACTCAGCAGGGGTCGCTTGTTTTCGTGCTGCGCTTAGATCTGGTTTACAAAGCTGCGGCACAGCTGCCTGGAGGTTTGGGGCTGTTTCCAGAAACGGCTGCATTTTGATTCTTGAAAACATATTTCCCTCCTAGGACCCCCCCACCCAATCCTACCGATTTTTCACGTCAATCAGCTCAGGGATTCTTCCAAGGAGTCCCCAAAAGACAACCACTGCCAAACAACCAAGAACAGTGAGAAAACATTTAACTCATAAGAAGAGAATCTGAAGAAAGTTGCCTATTTCTGAGATTTTTATCAGATCTGGTTTTGTATCCAAAGTTACAGTTACACTCATGACTCAAATGTTCTGTCGGGTGAGCCCTCAAGACCCCAGCTCTGATTTTTCAAGTAAACAAGAGTCATGAACTTGTGGTATGAAATTCGAGCTGCAATTCATGTGAGCAGGGAAACAAAATCTACTCATCCGTCTGCCTCTCACCCATCCTTGTCATCTGCCCCCACTCTAGGAGCAGGGAAATGATTTACATTTGTTTTATCTCAAAACTCCATCAGTCCCTTTAAATGGTGTTCAAAAGTCACGAGTTTTCATTTCTGGTCTCTACTTTCCTCCCCACAGGGCCTTAGGTAAGTGGATGGATGGGATCTTGGGGCAATGGGCAGGCAAGATGCTTGGGCGCAGTGTGGTCAGTGTCTCCTGGTCTCAGGTGATGACTCAGGCCTGTCCCCACCCTACCTGTACAGCAGAGCCTTGGACAAGGTCAGCCCATGGCCTCGAGCACCTCCTGCTCTCTGGGGTCCCTCAGTCCAGCTGGCTGCCCGTCCCCCAGGCTCCCCCAGCTTCCAGGGCCCACCTCGTCCCTCCAGGCAGCCTCCCTGGAAGGCTCTGCTCCCTCTCAGTCCAGAAGCTTGGAACTGTGAAAGTTCAGGACACCGCCCTGAGCATAGCACTGGGCCAGGGTCCTGCTCGGCCTCATGAGTCTGACGTAGCTGCACCAGGTCCGATGTGCCCCTGACACAACCTCATGATCCTGGAATGGTCGCCCAGCCCAGGCCAGTGCCAGAAAGGAATAGAAAGCCACTCCTGCATCTGATTTTCCTGTGTCCCTCAGCATCTCCTCTACTGAAATAGACAGGACAAGATGGTCCTTTCAGGGCTTCTCCCTGACCCCAGACTAAGCTTGAAATGCCAGGAGCATCTTTCCTGCCCTAAGGAGAGAATTTGATGACTTTTCTTGGGTCCCTTCTCCTTATATTTCTTCAGGAGCAAATCCTAACTTCCCTCGGGGAGGTGAAGGCTTCAGGTCAAGTCAGAAAGGCTTTGTACCCAAAAGGGCAAAAAGAAAAGCGAAACCATGTTTTATAAGAATCAGCAATAACCCTGCCACTGATGCTCCCACACCTGCCTAGAAACACCAGGTATGTTTCCCTATTCCTGAGGTTTCTTTCCAAATTCCAGTGTTTCTATACAAAATGCCCATAGTAATGCTTCCTGGCTGTCACACGGGAGAAATCAGAAGCTGGAAATCAGTAACTGACCATCTGAAGTCCTAAGTTAGAAATTCACCTTAATAAAGATGAGAAAACAGAAGCCTCCAGACCAAGATCTCCGCTCCTCCCTTGGCCTGGTGAACCACCTCTGTGGCTGGCCCTAAGCAAACCCACACCCTTCTCTCTGTGTCTCAGTTTCCTCACTGCAAAAAGCGAGAAAACTTTTTTTTTTTCCAGATTGTAGCTGGGACACCCCTTCTGATAATCCCACAATTACTCCAGAATGGAAGCCACTGTGGATGAGTGCTTTGTCCGCTCATATCATGGATAACATGCTCGAAAGACACCACAGCTGGTGCTGAGCAACCCCCAGCCCCCCAATACCACGGGGATGTCACGATAGGTGTGTCTCTTCTCTATGCGCCCCTGGGTAATTTTTTTATTGTTTCGGGGGAGGTTGGGGGGGGGCGTGCTTCACGGGCATGTGGAATCTTAGTTCCACTACCAGGGATGGAACCTGCACCCCCCACACTGGAAGCCATGAGACTTAACCACTAAACCGACAAGGGAAGTCCCGGGAATTTTTCTTTTCCCCAGAATAACATATTATTGGGACACGGGCCTCATTCCTCTCCACCTCAATATCCAGGAAAGAGAACAGAGCCATATCGTCTGTCATAGCGACAGGACCGAAGGAGAGCATAAAGCACTGCCCTACTCTGTGATATCGCGGGAAAAGGACATGGAGCATAGCCCTTCAAGGTGACAGGACGGAAGGAGAGCATAAAGCACCGCCCTCCTCCATGATATCACAGGAAAAGGACATGGAGCGCGGCCCTTCACGGTGATAGGACGGAAGGAGAACATAAAGCACCGCCCTCCTCCGTGATATCGCGGGAAGAGGACATGGAACACAGCCCTTCACGGTGACAGGACGGAAGAAGAACATAAAGCACCGCCCTCCTCCATGATATCGGGGGAAAAGGACAGGGAGCGCGGCCCTTCACGGTGATAGGACGGAAGGAGAACATAAAGCACTGCCCTCCTCCGTGATAATGCGGGAAAAGGACAGGGAGCGCGGCCCTTCACGGTGATAGGACGGAAGGAGAACATAAAGCACCGCCCTCCTCCGTGATATCGCGGGAAGAGAACTAGCGCTCTGCCGAGCCCCACCTCGTCGGTGCTTGAGGAGGATGTCCCAGATGCCACGGCGGGAGCACGGGTCCACCCCGCTGGTGGGCTCATCCAAGACCACGGTCCCCGACGCACCCAGGAAGGCGATGCCGATGGACAGCTTTCTCCGCGTGCCCCCTGAGAGCACTCGAGCCTGTTGGTGCTGGTGCGGCGTCAGCCCCACATCCTGAAGAGTTCTGTAATAAGAACAGAGCCCTCACTCTCCCGGACTCCTCAGGTGGGCTTGACGTCCCACTCTGCAAACAGGCACCCGCGAGGACTTGTCTCTTTCTCATCCGCGGACACATGGAGGGGGCCCATAACCACGTGCCCATGATTCTGACTCCGCAGCGCCAGCCTCCTTGGGGCCCGGATACGACCACATCCAGGGACCCAGCGTGAGGCCCTGACAGCAGGGCCTGCCGAGTGGGTCCTGTTTGTAGGAAGTATGTGCTGTGTCCCCTCTGGATTCACTCACCTGCCTAGGGACCTCCATCCCCTCAGGACCCTGGGGAGGATGGCCGATGATGGGCAGGTGTGGTCAGAGCAACAGGCAGAGGCCTCCCACTGTCCATCCACGTGACTACAGAAGACACCTCGCCCAGGAGCACTAGCTCCGCATCAGCCCCTTCCTGCCTGAGCACCTGGGATGCAGCCATGAGTCACCACGTGCAGAGCAGGAGCGACAGATGCCGCTAACAGGAGGACCAGCCCTCTTCTCTCGAGGAGCTTCCAGTCTCCACACTGACTGCAGACACCCAGCATCTCCTGATGCATGGGAGGCGCCACTTCATAAGTAACCTCTCACTCTGCACCATGTGCCCAATAACACGTGAACACTTAAGACTCTCACCACCTACTTTATCTCACTCTCTGTTAAGCCCCCTTTTGGAGCAGCAGCACCCCCCCCCCCACCAAAGGAAACCTTCCTCTGAGCACCCACACCCAGCAGATTCCCTCCCTCTGAGCCACAGGCCAGTCACAACTTCCCAGAGGCCAAGGAGCAGCCAGAGGAGGAGGAATAGGGGAGAGGAAGGATTACAAGTTTCCATGCAGTTGAGCTTCAAGACTGTTGGGACCCAGAAAACTGCAAAACTCTCACGCAGACACTGGTAAAATCCCAGGTACTTGCACCTGATCACCGAGTAAATGTTTCACTGTTGACAGATTCCTCATCCAGACCCAGAAGGAGCCCAGGCTCCCTTCTCAGGTCTGGTTGTCAGTCGGCCCACTGGATGGTTAGTCCGTGTGGCCCTACATTTCCTGTGGAGTGAGCCTCATCCTACATTTATAGCAGTTTTTGCCCTTGTCTGTCAGATGCTTCTATTGTGGACAGCAGCCCAGCTGGGAGGAAGAGGACCAGTGGCCCATCTCAGCAGGGGGCTGTCTTGACCTTTATTCCCATTAGAAGCCAGCAATCCCTTCCCACCTGATGGCTCCCACACCAGAGGAGGTGACCCTCTGGGGGCTAATGCCATTAGTTCCATTAACCAGGGAAGGACCGGCAGAGAAAAAGAAGGCAATGAGCTGTCAGATGTTCTCAAACATCCACATCCTAATTACATTTCCACCTTAAACCAAATCCCTCCCGTTCTCTGCTGACCTTGAAATCAGCACACTCCTAGCCACTCATAGCCAAACCACACCCTGGACCTGGTGGTTTCCAGCATACACGGCCCCACCAGAGGCTCAATTCCACACATCCTCTTCCACACATTCTTTCTCCAGCCGGTCCCTGCCTCTAGCCATCACTCCCACAAAACCGAACTCTCCTGTCTTCCCCCTCCTCGTTTCCTATGTCCACAGGCTCTACCCACCACAATGTCACTGCTACCCCCCACAGATCCCAACCACTGCTCGCAGGATGGCACGCAGAAAGCCACCCACCTTGTGTTTGCCTCAGTTTGCCTCAGTGGTTTGTTCAGTATTTGAAATGCCTGTTTCTCTTTCATCTTGATATTGTCCCAAATCTTTGCTCCATTTTTGCATAAAACCCCTGGGAAGAGTTCAGTTTCTAATCCCTTCCTTCCATCCTTTCTCCCCTGACTCCAGAGAGACCTCCCTCCCCATTGTGCTACCAAGATGGCTCTGATCCAGTCAACTAGCGACCTCCTCACACGAAGTCCGGAGGTTATGCTTCAGTCTTCATGTTACTTGACCCTCAACAGCATCTGATGCACCAGACCTGTCCCTCCTCAATGGTCTGGTCCCTCCGCCTTCCTCACTGATCCCTGCTCTTTAGTGGAGTACTTTCTCCTCTTTCCCCATTGCTCCTGGCAGGTCCTTCTTCATCCCCCCATCCTCTTCACACGGCAGCATACAGGATTCAAAGCTGTGTCCTCTCCTTGTGTCCATGTCCACCCATGCCCTCGTGGGTCTCATCACCATCAAACAAGGCAGCCTGCAGCTCAAGCCTTGTGATGCTTGCTAGAATCCTCAGCACTAACGCTAACCTCATCATGACATCTCATTGCTAAGTTCCCCTCTTGACTTCTACCTTCTCCTTCAAATAAAAGGTAAAATGGTAAAGACCTGACTCTGGACAAATGTGCTCTCTAAGGAGTCTACCCCGGATTGCATCAGCTCTACTGTAACCAAGATGGCCATTAAGGGAACCTAGTGTTGCCACAGGAGCTGACACTGATTGCCCTGCCTCCAAATCAGGGCTTTCAGCCCTTGCTCCTCTAATTGAGCACAACTGTCCTAAAACATGATCCTTCCCTGCCTACCTCTGTGCACACCAGCATCGTTGCCAGGTAACTCGCAGCAAACTGATAACCAGTGAGGTTGCTGTGCCCACATCAGAAGATGAAGCCCTCGGAGCATCCTTAGGAGCTGGGTTTGGTCCCAGCCCCCAGCACAGCAGAGTCTGCCGCAGTCCAGGGTAGGCGCAGACTTTGAATGAAAACTGGTGGCCTGGGATTTTTTTTTTAAATGTAGGTAGCAGGTAACCAGTTTGTCCTTTAGTGATGTGCACTGTTTCTCCCTAAGTTCCCGCTGTCATCTAGGACAGGCTTGACTGGTGCAAAGTAGATGTTTCCTGTGTATCTGAGTCCCCAGCATCACTGGAGTGGTTGTCATCAGCAGTCCGTCTGAGGACGGGATGTGAATCAGTCCACTATGGTGGTGAACGGTCTCAGACACCAGTTAGCTGCCAACCATGTGGCTGTAAATCATTATTTTTACAAAACAAATCTTGCAAACATATTTTAAGGCAGCAATAAGCAGTGGTGGGCATAGTTCCTCAGGGGCCCCTTTTCTTCTGAGGCACGTGAGTGACTCACACCATCTGTCCTTACACCCTGGCCTGGTCCCCCATGGGTCAGGCCTGACTGACGTCCTGCTTCATGAAGGTGGCCTGAGAGTGAGAAGCCTGCACACTGGTCTCACGGTGCGTCCTCCCAAGGAGCAGAGCCCAGCTTGGGCCACAGCCTTCACACACAGCCCTGCCCCACGTCTTCTAGATCAGTGGCTCCCCCACTGGACTCAGGCCCCACTGCAGCCCTGTCCTTCCCCCTCGGCCCCCAGCCATACTCCCCTCCTGGAGACACCGACTTGTTTCCTGACTGGGGACCTCGGCTCCTCTCCTGCCTCTGGGCTCAGCTTCTGTGAGTGAGTGTGAGACTGGAGGAGCTCCATGACCCCGGGCTGTCCTGCCATCCCAGCCCTGCCTCTTCTCCCCACACACATGTCCTCTGCCACCCTTGGAATGCATCCTGACCCCAGGCTCTCCCCCCGACCCTGGACGCCCATTGGGTCAAGCTGGCCTCCAACAGCCTTCAAACCTGGGCCTCCCCTGCAGCCTCTCCATGTCCCGTCCCCACCCAGGGCTGGTACCCACCCTGGGTCACAGGTACACCTTCCAGGCCCCGGGCTGCTTGCCCCCTCCTGTCCACAACCCAAATCTGCAGGGTGACATCTAGAGGCCTCGGCAGGACTGCTCAGGCTCCTTCACCCACCCCTCACGCCCCCAGCCGATCCTTTTCACTCCAGGACACCCACAGGCACCCACACTCTGGACAGGCCTCAGCCCCCATGCTGTCTGCTCCCTCCTAGAGGACAGGTCAGGTTCTGTATCCTCCCTGGGACGCTTTCTGATCCCAGAGCTGGGGTCATATTCCATAGTTAGAACCACTTGCTACAGATACAGGCAGCAGCGAGGCTCGGAAGGCATCTCCCTGCACCGCCCACACCCACATGGGACGGAGGGCAGGGGGCAGAGGGGGTGTCACCCACCTGTGGACTTGCTCACGCAGCTTCTGGTGGGTCCCCGGCAGCACCTTCAGGGAGGCGAAGAGCAGCAGGTGCTCGAGCACCGTAAGGTGGTCGAACAGGATGTCCCGCTGCAGACACACCCCCAGCTCTGCCCTGACCACAGATGGGTCCTTCTGCAGGCTCCTGCCATTGACAGTGATGGTCCCAGACGTTGGGGGGTAGAGTCCTGTGAGCAGGGATCTGCAGAGAAGACATGTCCGTCGGGGCATGGGAGTCGGATGTGCTGCTGTCCTGACCACCCGGTGGCCCCACGGACGTCTGCATCCACGGGGCACTCACACCTAGCCTCCCCCGCCTGGTGCCTGCTACACAGTGAGACGAAGGCTAGTCAGAGCTTGGGGGGACAGGGGCTTGTGATCGGTTATGCTCGCCTGGGACGCTCCATGCCCAATGACCATCCCCGCTGAGGGTTTTCGATGACAATGCCAAGGGTCTTCAGAGATGAGGAAACAGCCTAAATAGGCAGCCTAACCACTCAGGTCCTCATCATTAGATGTGAGCCGAGCAGCAGCACGTACCTCCCACCTCCCCCACAGCCCTGCAGCCAGGCTTCCTGCGTCTATGCCTGAGCCACCCCCCGCCAACATCAAATCCATGACAAGGCCGGAGCGCGTCTCCAAAACTCCTGTCTGCCGGCCCATGGGACACCTGAAGACTGCCATCTCCTAGCTCAGGTTATTTATTATTCATGCTTTACACTATGGTTTTTTTCTAAAAAGTTAGACATATACCTACCACAGCAAACCACACCTAACTACTTACAGAAAGAACTTAAAACGTATGTCCACACAAAAGATCTACGTGAATGTCCATCATCACCAAAACCCGGACACAGCCTCAACTGCACCAACAGATGAAAAGATAAACTGTAGTGTTTCCATGGCATGGACTTCTCAGGACCTGACAGCTGAGCACCACGGGTGGGTCTCCAAGCACCATGCCAACAGGAGCCTCGGTACAACTCCATTATAGGAACTGCTAGAAAACGCTAGCTGTGCCACAGCGACAAGCAGCAGGACTGTGGCCGCTCGGGGGCCAGGAGCCAGGAGGCCCGGGCCAGCGGGGGTGAGGCTTCACATGGCAGTGCCTGTTGGTCCCCCGGGCTTTGTGCAGCTGGAGCCAAGTCCACCAGCTCAGCAGATGCCGCCTGGACACATACTGTTTCCTGGGAATAAACTGCACTTCAGTAACCTTGATTGACAGCTGTTTGCTATATGGTTTTCAGACCTTGCCGGGGAATACAATGAAACAGAGTATACACATCTCAGTGTGCCTCAGAGCTTCTCATTTCAGACCAGCCCGGAAGCAGCCTCTCAGCCTGTCCTCCGAGAAGTGCCAGGAAGAGACATCCCTGGGAGGACTCACAACTAATTTCCAACAATCTCTAAAAGTGGTGCAGCCAGTGACCCTCGAAACATCCAAAAACTCCTAATTTAATTCTCTTCGTTGTGCAAAACACAGACTCCAGGTTTTCTTGCAGGAAACATGCATTAGTAAAAGCATCTGTGGAGGCTGGCTTTTAGAGTCATTATTAATGCAACGTTTCCCGATCTGAAAACACTAAAAACATCCTTCATGAAATCTTCAGTTCTTTTTCAGCATCCAAGAAAAGAAAAGAGATGTTTCTTTTCAATTTATTATCAGTAAGAGATTGCTGAAGCTTTTTGAATGTTATTTTTCTACTTTTATTAAGAATCTTGAAGCAAATAGTCCTTTTCCTTGCGTTAACTAAGCATACTTTATTTAGCCCTACTAATAAAGAACAAAAAGAAAGTCACTTGTTCAAAACAGAAATTCCATAATTTGGGTGGTTTGGCCTTAAAAATGCCCCATTTCCACAGCCAACTTGGGGCTGTTTTGTGGACTGTGAGTGTTTCAGCTCATTCTTTCTCTGGGATCACATGATTTCGATTCTTTAAACAAATCTGGAACCACTGGATCCCATATCAAAAATAAAGGCTTCACAAAAACACAACCACATAAAAAGCAGAACATTAAAAAGAAAAAGACTGAAGTGTTAAAAATTTTGCAAAAGTCATTAAAATTTCATCTTCCTCTAGGTATGCAAGCAGAATTAAACTTAGTTGGAGAGGGGAAAAGAATGTCATAAGACTTTCAAAGGCCAAAGTAAACCCATGAATATTTTGCAGGCAATAAAAAAAGAATTAAATTTATTTTAAAATATCCCCACGCCCACCCGAGTCTGCTCAGACCTGCAGCAGCTCTAGCGAGAGGGCTGTCTTTCTGATGTGTCTGTAAATTCTGTACTGAGATGGCTGGATAGCATCTCCAACTCAGCGGACATGAATATGAGTAAACTTCAGAAGAGAGTAGAAACAGAAGCTGGTGTGCTACAGACCATGGGGTCACAATGAGTCAGACAGGACTTGGCAACTGAGCAACAACAACCGAAACTAAACAGAAATAAACAAACAAAAAGGGATCTAGCCCCTGTCTCACAGGGAAACACATTTCTAAGATGCACATCTTAAAACACATCTCTAAAGCCCTGGAGGGAAGGCAGGAGAAAGGGGAGTGGGACGCACATGACGGTGGTCTTCCCAGCGCCATTGGTCCCCAGCAGGGCAGTGATCTGGTCCCTGTGGAAGGTCAGGGTCAGGTCCCAGACCCCCGCCTTGTGGCGATCATGCTCCTTGGTCACAGACAGCAGGACAACACCGGGGGAGCCTCCTTCCAGTTCTCCTTCTCCATTTTGCAGGGATGAGCCTGTGAGGAAAATGCAGTCCACGCTGAGAAGATTTCAAAAGTCTCCAAAACAATGTTCACAGGTAATAACCCAGCGGCTACCTCAGGCTTGAATTCTAGCTTTGTGAAACTTATGAAGCAATTCCAAAATCTTTTCTCTACCTAAGTCAAGAGGCACATCATATGATGGCTAAACTTAAATGAGAGCAGTGACTGCAAGCTTTTGTGCCCTTACGTTATACATTTTGCAAGAAAATAAAAATAAACACACACGTGTTTGTATATACATATACACAGAAGAACAAAATCAGATTAGTTACACATGACTGACAGTCTCCAGAGGTGACCGTTAACAGGTGGTGCTGATCCAAATCTTCTGTAAGATTTGTATTTCTGACTTGTATAGTCAGAAAATTACAGTATTGACTTATAGTATAAAATTATCATGGTGAGAACCTGTTTATCCATAGATTTTTCTCCCAAAAGTTGTGCTCTGTGAACGAGCCCAAGGCCAGGGCAGGTGCCCACCAAGTCTCCTGGGAAGCAGGTCCACGTTTGTAGGGACAGTGACAGTTCCTCTGTCATGGAGCTTGGAATAAACTAGCACCTGTGAAGCACTGAACATTCTAAAGTATGTCACCCCTCAGTAGCTGTCCACCTTTGCTTTCATTATTTACACAAATTCATGTTAGTAATGAAGATTCAATTAGCTGAGTCACAACAGAGGCACAGAGGATGCGGTGGACAGTGACGCTAACACACGGCTCCTGCCGACATGGGATGAAAGTAGGCCTCTGGGCAGCCACGCAGTCACAGTTACAAAGGCTTCAGCTGGAGAGCAAAACCCAACCAAAGCTGACTGGAAGGAGAAACACACCTCCAACGCGCCCTTTACCCACCTTGACCACCCAGGTTCTCACTAGAGAACAGGGTAGAACTGGCTGGGCTCTGCCTTTTCACCACTAGCCCACACAAGTCCTTCCAGTAGGATGCGGTGAAGGGGAAATACCACGGTTTCCTTAAACCAAAAGTTCCTAAAAAATAAGATGAGTTGAAATCAATTTGCTTGTTTTTCTACTTAGAAGAAGATTCTGTAGTGAAATATCTTAGCTAAATTATGATAAAAACTTATCCCATCTTATCATGTTCGATCCACATCCCATACATGGACCAGTGGCCACAGGGCACAGAGCATCAGCCCCCAGCCTCCCTCGGCCTGGCCAGGGCCCCCTGTGACGTCCTCACATCCCCTTCCCACAAAAAGTCATCTGAGCGGGTATTAGAAGACTAAGCTGAGCCCTGAAGAATTGATCCTTTTGAACAGTGGTGTTGGAGAAGACTCTTGAGAGTCCCTTGGACTGCAAGGAGATCCAACCAGTCCATCCTAAAGGAGATCAGTCCTGGGTGCTCACTGGAATGACTGATGCTGAAGCTGAAACTCCAATACTTTGGCCACCTCATGCGAAGAGCTGACTCATTGGAAAAGACCCTGATGCTGGGAGGGATTGGGGGCAGGAGGAGAAGGGGACGACAGAGGATGAGATGGCTGAATGGCATCACCGACTAGATGGACATGAGTTTGAGTAAACTCCAGGAGTTGGTGATGGACAGGGAGGCCTGGCGTGCTGCAATTCATGGGGTCACAAAGAGTTGGACATGGCTGAGCGACTCAACTGAACTGAACTGAACGTTAAATAATTCTGGAATGTTCCCCCACCCTTCCCCCTCCTGTTTAGCTGTCACTCTTCCAGTACGTCTTTGCCATCTGCCTGGATTACTAGACATGATTAAAAACTGAAGGAATTAATCAATTAAGACCCTACAGAGAAGGATAATTTGGAGTGCTAACATTTCTATGTTAGACATACAGCCATTCTTCAAATGGATTCTCCAAATTCATTTCGTCCACTTAATAGCGACAGCCCCATTGTATGTCAAAATGAAAGTGGATTTAATTATTAATGCTTCACAGTTTTCTTTCAACACAGTCAGACTAGCTTAAGTTTGATTGTGGCCTAAACTCTGTAAGTGATTGAGGAGATAAAGACCTCCACGTAGACTGTTTCATGTTTTAGCTCTCTGACCACAGAGCACAGAGACACACAGTCCCTCACACACTCCACACAAAAGATTCAAAGAGGTGACTGCAAACAAGAGCATCGGGTCACTTGTCTTTTGATGTGAAGGGAGATGATGGTGTTGGTCCGGTGTTTACCACCTGTCATGCGTTGTTGGAGTCTTAGCCTTGGTACCTTGGAATGTGACTGTATTTGGAGGAAGAATCTTTAAAGAGGCGATTAAGATATAACGAGGTCATGGGGGTGGGCTCTGACCCAACAGAACTGGTGTTGTTATAAGGGATCAGGACTCAGACGCCCACAAAAGGACGGCCACGTGAGGACACAGGAGGGAAGAGAGAAAGAAGAGATGGATGTCTGGAGCCCAGAGCTGTCAGAGTATCAACACCTCCTCTTTAAGCCGCAGTCTGTGCACTCTGTAATGGCACACCAGGCTGAACAGAGCACATGGGATACTCCCCAAGACTTCACATGCCAATGACCGTGCCTCATTGGGAAGAGGAGCAGCAGAAGGCACTTAGGTCACATCACAGCCTGCACTGCGCTTGTGCGCTGTTCCAGGCACTGTCCAAGGTCCTGAAAACACTGTCCATGGGCGCAGGGCCGTCACCTCTCCTCCCCACGCGGAGGGGAGGCAGCAAGGCGGTCTGGGACAAGAGGCTGCAGAAGCCACACAGTGAGCTGCCGGGCAGCCTCTGGGAGCACCTGCCCATAGCCCCTTCAAACCAGCAGAGTGCCTGCCTTGGCTCCTGGACCCACTGTCTTCAACCCCCTGGTGGGAGCCTTGGGCACTCGCATGAATAACAAGTCCATGGACATAAAAGAGAGTGAGCAACAAACCTATCAGGAAAACTAGTCTGCGATGCCAGCGGCTGCCTTCTCTCCCTCTGGCCCACTCGAGCAGCAGTAGTTTCCTGCTGGGACCTCGCCTGGGTGGCCAAGCTCAGGAGCAGCCACAGCCAGCAGAAGGGGCGCCGCCTGTTAAGAGCAGGTGGGATCAGAGGCGGGGGTTAGGCACAGGCTATGAATTAGCAGAGGTGTGGTGGGGAGGCCCCTGGAGGCCTGGACGGGCATTGGGAGGAAGCTGAGAGGGCCAGGTGGGGTGCCTGAGGCCTGAGCCCTGAGCCAGGGTCACGGCTGCAGGGATGGGAGGGAGGGGGCAGAATGGGAGAGGCCATTCAGAGTTAGAAAAACAAATTAGAAGCAAATTGAATATTAATGATTTGCTAATTAAACCACCCTCGCTCTGCTCTGTCTGGACTTTTAAATCCTCCTAATTAACCTATTAATCTAAGCAGATGGGGAGGGGCCAAGGCTCAGGCATCACAGAGGCCAATCAGCTCTCCCCTGCCCTTGGCTCTTGCTCCTAAAGTCACACCTGATTCTTGGGCGGCCTGCTCAGGTCACCAAGTATAATGGGAGCATTAATAGAAGCAAAGGCCCTCAGTCCATCCAGAGTCTGCTCCTTGAGGGTGTAAACCAGGAGCCTGCACAGACCAGGAAGCTAATGAGCGTGTCCTCTAAACCGACAGCGGTGCAGGAAGAAGCCAGGGATACAAGATAGGTGGGGCCAAACCCAATCCGGCTGGAGATACATAAAGAAGAGTTCATGAAACGAACTCCCAAGGAGGACCAGATGCTTGCTCATGTGCTGAGTGGAGCTTGGGGGCCCTACAGTGGACACAGAACCCTGCTGGCCACAGTGGCCTGTGACTGGGTCATCTGTGACTCTGGGTCTACAGGGCATCCCCTCAGACACTGAGCCTGGGAAACACCAGGCTGTTTCCACACCATCGCTTCATCAAAATAAAACAAGAAAAATGCAGAGAAAGCACTTGTGTGGGGGTGCACACACGTGTGTGCGAGACAGAAAGTGGTCACCCACCCCCCAAGCCAGGGAGACCCTCCTACCCAGGGAGACTATCACGCAGTGACTGTCCTGACCCCCAAGCGCCTCAGTGGCACGTCCCTGGTGGTTCATCGATAAAGAATCCGCCTGCAATGCAGGAGATGCAGGTTCAATCTCTGGGTCATGATGATCCCCTGGAGGAGGAAATGGCAAGCCACTCCAGTATTCTTGCCTGGAGTATCCCATGGACAGAGGAGCCTGGTGGGCTACAGTCCACGGGGTCACAAAGAGTCAGACACGACTGAAGTCCTGAGCACCAAGTGCCTGGGAGCCCTCCAGGGAGTCCTGGATGTGTGGGAAGGAGTTCTTTGGGTTGGCAGAGTGACTGGGTGTTTTTAAACATGGGCTTCATTACTATTCAGGCACAGTGAGGCCAGCAGAGTCCGGTCAACCCCATTCTCAAGAGGAGGGATGAGCCACACCGGCAGGGCCTCCTGCGGAAGCACCAGAGTGGGGCAGGGAGCAGAGGAAGCCAGGGGAATCGTGGACAATAGTTTGTACTGTGGCTTCCCTGGAAGGAATGGGTGAGTGGGCTTAGGACCAGTCAATCTGGGTAGTGCCCGTGGGCCCTGGGCACAGGGCTCCCCCCGATTGTCTGTTCCTGGCCTTGGGTGCCAAGGGCAGGGGACAGTGGCCAGGGGGTGGAAACATGTAGCAGAGGCTGGGGTATGGCCCAGATCTCCTGTGTTAGTGTGAAGGGCATGCTCATGGGCAGAGCCTTCACCGTCTCCAGGGATTCATCTGTGGGGCAGAAGGGGCCCCGGCCCCTGCAGTCCCTCCAGGGTCAGGACAGCCCCGGAACATCACATTAGCAGGAATTTATATTTATTTTAGAAATAAAAAGGCCTGATGAACGGATCAATGAGCAGGGACTACACAAGTCCCCCCCAGTGGGCAGGCACCTAGCCGGCAGGTATCCTACAGAGGGAATACCTGTCCCTGACCTGCGTCCTGTGAGACCACCACACACACTCGCACAGGGGCCAAGCCCTGTTCCTGGGAGTGCAGGACTCATAAGGCCAGGGTTCCGTGCAGTTTCCCCGCACACTGAATTCCCCGGGAACGCATCCGCCTCAGCGCCCAGTGAACGACGGCCGGACGGGGAAGCTGTTCACCACTGCAGGAATCCCATCATGAGTGTGACAACGACTTGCGGCCGGTCTGCAGAGCAGCGCGACTGGGGCCCCAGCTTAGCACAGGGCCCACAGACACAGACAAGAGCGCCGAGAGGCTTCTCACACGCTCAGAACCAAAGTGCTTATGGCAGCAGTCTTATGCATGCACTAAATCTCACCCATAAGGGTTTTCTGGAAGCTGTTTTGCATTATTATCATTATATGTGTATATATAAGCATTATAATACAATAATAAGAGATCCATTGTGTAAAACTACACATTAAAATGATTCATATGGAGGCTTCCTATTAGATTTCAATCTCAGTCTGATGCTGTTCTCAGGTATTCACCCCATCTTCTCCTCAAACTCTCTTTATTACTGTTCTTTTGTCCCACCCACCCTCCATTTCCTGTCACTGGCAACAGAATATGATACCTAAAATCTAAAAACCTGGAGTCTGAATGGAGGCTCTGACACAGGGTGAAATTATAAGACAGATGTATCTGCTGCTTCATCATTACCAGTCCTGTTAAATGACCTAGGGAATTATCTGATCGTACACTGTTAAATAAGACCCAGATCATTTACCAAAATAGCATTCTTTCATCCACTCCATTTGTGTCAAATTTTTCCTTTCACATTTTTCCTATTTTAATTAATGTTATTTCCATATTTTTTATCATATACAAACAAGTCTTATCTGGTATTCCTTACCTTAATATTAGCTTTATTTTAGTCTCTATCTTTATCTACTCTCATATATTTCTTCTACTTTTAGTACCAATGCTTTCTGATCATTTTCCTTCCCTTAAATAAAAATTTACGCCAAGCATCTGAGTATCTACCTCATTTTGTGTTTTAACAAACTCTTGGTTGACCATTGAGAATTCATATATTATTTCATTATGAATTGCTTTCTCTTTTATATTA